GAGAGAGAGAGAGAGAGAGAGAGAGAGAGAGGGAATGCTTTAGGTTTTTGGTGCTTGCATTTTGTAGTGTTTTATATCATTGCAAGAAAAACAGTCTCAAAATCCTATTGCTGCATGCAAACAGTATTGTGGATGATAAAGAAAGACAAGACTGTGTGATAGAGGTTGAGTGTATTGTTTCCCTTTTTAGAGACCTGGGTTGATGGCATGTAAAAATGCCAGTAACCTGTCCATCAGTAGATGAGTGGCTAACACAACCATGGTACATTTATACAATGAAATACTACTTGTCCATAAAAAGGAAGAAACTTTTACCCTTTGCGACAGCATGGATGGACCTGGAGATTATTATGCTCAGTGAAATAAGCCAGTCAGAGAAAGACAAGTACCATATGATTTCACTCATGTGGAATTTAATGAACAAACTGAACTAACAAGCTAAATAGAGACAGACTCATAGATAGAGAGCAGGCAGACAGCGCTGGTGGGGGAGGGGATGTTGAGGTGTGTGGAGGGACTGAGCAAAAAAAAAAAAGAAAAAGAAAAAAATGCCAGTAACCTTAAACACCCCTCTTGTACATGGATTTTAAAATACTGCCCTTAGTACTCAATTCCCTGTTGAGTTGAGCATTGATTTTTTTTTAAAAGAGGGCATTTCATAATAGCAAGATAAAGATATTCAGTGCTTTATAATGTAAATTATATTAATTAGAATGTCAACTTTTCACTGGCATTGTTCTGACAGAAATTCTAATCTGTGTTTAAACAGGAGTATATGAACTTTATTTCACATTAAGTGTGCTGTCTTAATTTCTCTTGATTTAATATTTTATGGGAAACACAGGTTTAGTTTTTGAGGTCCCAGAGGGCATGGGGACATAAAGAGTGCCTCAACTCTTTTCATTGAAAGCCAGGTTAAGAGGGTGGGAACTAAGCTCTCCCTTCTCTTTGGGAATTGAGTGACATGGCCTCTTCATAACCAATGTTCTGTTCTCAAGTCTGTATTACAAATTTCTATTCCTACTTGGCATCCCTGTGTTGGCCTCTGCCTCGTTCTAGCCCAACACTATCCCCTAGAACTTTCTGCAGTGATGGATATTTTATATTGCATTGTTCAATATGGGAGCCACTACCCACATTTATCTCTTGAGCACATGAAATGTGGCTACAGCAACTGGGGAAATGAATTTTTAATTCTAATTAACTTACATTTAAATTTCTACACGTGGCTTGTAACTACCGTATTCTAGTCCTATAAATAGCAGCACTCTTTACAGCCGCCCATAATGGCTTGCAGACATTCTTCCTGGCCTCATGGTGATATTCTCATCCAAAATATGGAAACCATTATCCTCTGTGCTCTGGATCTCTCCATTAGATTCACAGCAAAGAGTCCTTCTTAAACTGTCTGTCTCTTAAAGAATAAACTTGTTTCTGCCTTAAGATCAACCCTTTCTTGAACCAGTTTTCTCCATGGTCATGTCTGATTGTACTGGTTTGCCTATAGACAACATAGAAACAGCTGCTCTATCTCCACTGTGCAAATAGTGAGGGAATATGGTGTCCAGGTCTGTGCACCAAGGTTGGCCATAGTCTCGAATTTCACTTCTGAACTTATGAATGATGCTAACAGTTACTGAAGACCTAGTGGGCATGGATTGCTACTGAGCAATACTTAAGAACAATGACTGAGTCACTGTTATACTGCATGCTGTGTCCGTTACTCGAGATACAGCCTGTGGTTTAAACATCTTTAGACTCCGAGTTCCTCTGTGTCCCTACATTGTCTTCTGATTAATATTGTCATTTATATTTTTTATTGTATTTCCTTACTATGTTGCTGAGTTAATATCAAGTTATTCTTCTCAAAGGAAGACAAAAAGAGTACCTACATTACCATAAACTATGTATAGAACTAAGCCTACATATTTATATTCCTTACTTCACCCTGCATAAGTCATTACTGCTCCTTAATGAGTGGGGAAGGGGTATTTGCAAGAGTATTCAGCATTCACAGATAGCTACACGAGTTTCTTTCAACATCTCTATAGATTCTATAATTTACATTAAACCAAAACATGTACCAGCCCCTGAGTTCAGCATTTTCTTCGGCTTAGTAATGTGTTAGAATAGTTGGCACCCTGCAATGTTCATTATAAAAAAAATAAAAAATAAAAACAATACCAAAGTTGTACATTTATATTTTGATACTTAATTCAGTTATTTTCCATGACAGTAACCAAGGGTTTTTACCAATACAAATCAATTAAAGCTTCACAATACCTGTATGAGAGATGTGAAGGAGCTTTATTTTAACTGTAAGAAGTACTGTGAAATTGCGATGATACATCAATGATTTTCCATGATAATTAATCATCTGCCTGCAACCTGGCTGCTCCTTCCAAAGATACAATTCCTATCTTCCTAGAAAATGACATTTTCAGGAAAATGTCATTCTAGAAAGGTATTTTGTGAGTATTGAACTTATTGAACATTCCTCTCCTTTGAAAACCACTTTTCAAATAGAATTGTGTATATATGTTCTTATAGACTCCCTTCTTCCTCACCTCTGTCCACCTTTTAAAAATAGCTATATTAAGGTATAATTTAAAGTATTCCCATTTTACATATTCCCACAAACTGACAAATGTATAGCCCCACAAAACCATCACTACAATCAAGACCGTGAACATGTCCATCACCTCCAAAAACTTCCCATGATCCTTTGAAATTCTTCCCTCCCTTCCTGCTGGCCTTTCTCCCATCCCTGAGCAATCAGATCTGCTTTCTGTTACTATTATATTCGTTTGTACTTTCTAGGACTTTACACAAATGGAACCAAACAATATGTACTCTCTATTTTTAGGGGGGGTGGTGGGGGGAGTCTGGTTTCTTTCACCCAGCACACTTATTGCATATTTTAATTCATTTTTATTGCTGAGTAATATTCCATTGCATAGATATACCACAATATGTTTATCCACTTACCTGTTGATAGAAATTTTAATTATTTCTCTCACACTTGTTTTTATTGACTAAAGAGGCAAAAGTCAGCAAGAACTGAATTTGAGTAGAAACATCATAAGTAGTTCTTGGCAGACTATTTAGATATTATTTCCCTTTAAGAGGATTTATAGTCTTCAGAGTTAGAGGACTTAAGAGCTTGTTTGGAGGTTCTAGCAGGGGAGTGCAGCTACTCATATACCCTTGACCAAAGACCAGTCTTCTCTTCTGGGGGGAAGGTCGTCTTCTTCAATCAGGGCACAGCTTTGGGAGGGGCGCACATGGCACATGGATTGGTGAGGGAGGAGGGGGACACCTGGCTACCCAGCCAGATCAGCTGAATCAACCCTGGTGATCAATGGGGTGATGTCACACCCAGATCGCCCTCACATCCCAGCAGAGCAGGACAGCAACTTCTCCCAGTTAAGATTTCAGTTCATGTCCCTTTGCTCCTGAGAAGATAACTCTGATTTTCCAAATAGTTTTTACTTATGTTCAATCCACCAAATGGGCACCACATCATATGCAATCAATTGTAGGAAAACAAACCAAAAGGGTTTTCTTAAATCTATAGCTAATGAAAGTATCCGGTAGGAGAAACCAAAGCCAAATGGACACCAGAGAGCTATGCAAGGATTAGGAAAAGGAACCAACCACAGTGCTGGGCTTAAATTTGGGAGATAAATCTGCATAGGTCATGTTGGGCAACCATTAACCAAACACATAGAAATAGCCTTGGTAAAACAACATTCTTAATTCAATTTGATAAATGAGAAAATGTGGGGGAAATGGTGACAATGAGTTCATGTATATTAAGCACCCATGAGTTATTTCGGTGCCAGGAATACATGATGAATGAGTTAGGTTTCTATCTTCCAAGGATTTCCGATCTAGGAAAGATGACCATAAATTAAATGTATTTATCTATAGACACATAAATGATTAATGTAATGCAATTTTGAGCAGTAAACTTCTTGTAGGATA